AACAAAGATAGCAACAGCAGCAGAAACACTGATAACAACAATAGCAGCACTGTCAACAACATTGTAAAAACACACTGACTAAGTACCGTCACCTGGATATAACACCAAACAAAATATACAAACATAAACAAACGTCAGAAAAAAAAGGAATAACAACGGAATACCATCAACCTGACTAACCTGGTTTTTATAAATAGCTGTTACCGTGTGCCACGTTCCATCGTTCACACCTCCTATCATATCAGTTCTTGCAATTGCTACATCATGGTCAGTGCTGACTGTAAATTGCACTTGCCCCTTAACTATCTCTATAGCAACGAAATCTTCCTTGTTGTTATGGCGACCATTGTACAAGAGAACACCATCAGACTGTATAGTGGCAAATTGAAGTTTTATGTGGAAACTCCATTTCTTCTTTAAAGCTAAAAAAGAAGCATTTACAGTTTATGCATTCAATAGACCTTACAGGCGAACGAGTTTTAATGGGTGAGTCTCTTAATGTGTAGGGTTTGACTTAAATACCCATTTAAAGGCCCATGGTCCACCAGCATTCAATGTGGTCGTGTTTTACATTTTTCATTTTTGGAAAATGAGGTAACTTTGAATATCCATTCGCAATCCGTTTCCATCCATCGGTTAAAAGGTCGAATCTTACAATATCTCCATTCATATACAATAAAGGGATAATAAAGAGTAAGTTTTTGTTTATATTACGATGTATCTTTCTTTTTAAATGAGAAAAAGCTCGAAAGGGATGCTGGTGGACCATGTCCCTTTAAGTACCCATATCCCCTTATATAGCTTATTAGAGTGGCTCAGCACAACTTACCTGGGAATGCCGCGAAGTCCCCATCCTTAAAACTTCTGGTACTAAGTTGACAGAACGGTGTATCAACAATRGGTTTGTCCTTACAACCGCACTTAAACCCACCAACTCCGTCATCCAGGCAATAACCATCATTATAGCATGGGTTACTAGTCAGTTGATTTGGTCTAGGTTTCTCTTTCCCGCTTGGAGGGCASGAATTRGTGGAATTACTYTCACAATATCTWCCCATTCTGCCCTTTAAGCACAGACAAACGAAGCCCTTCTCGACACTGACACACTTTCCATTGTTCTTACAAGGGTTTGAGAAGCACAGRTTAAGGTGGGTATCACAGTCTTKCGGCTCTCTGAAATCCACTGGGCATGTGCAGTTGTACAGCATTTCAACAGGTACRGTCCGGAAGACAACTTTAGGTGAGCTAAGAACTGTGGGATTGCCTATGAATCTGGTAAAAGTCATACAATCTCTGCGCATGCTCGGTGCAGAGTTACAAGGCTTTCGGTTGCATAAATCATTTGGGATTGGTAAGAGATTGACACCAGCGTCTTTCGAGATTTCCTTGCGATGTATGGAGATGATGTTACGGACGTAATCCGAGCCGAAGAATCCATAATATCGGCCCTTGTCGTCTTTCTTTCGRACCACGAGCCAGATTATCAACTGYGTTTTATCGTATTCAGTAATCTTTGTGGATTTTATAATGCGTGATTTGATGTCAAACAGTAGGACTTGGTCCATTGTAAGACCTAAACGCGACGCTATACTTCTAGCGAGCTTATCATATGCGAGATTTAGAAATTCCTTCACTGTCATGTCRTCAATTTCAATTTCAAAACTGTTTGATAGCATTTCTGTAGTAATTGAAGTCACCATTATAGATCCTTTGGCCCTCGCACTTTTCTCGCCGTCCGAAACTTTGATTAAAATCTCGGCTGGTTTCCGAGCGTTTACGAGGGTGGGGCTAACAGAAAGGTACCCACTTGAGTTCAAAGTGACCCACTCTTTCTGGTTCCCTTCAACTATCGAAAACGTTAGCTTGTCAGAAATATCGGGATCGTAAGCTGGTATCTTGTACCTTGCTTCAGGTGGAACCAAATCTTGTTTTACATTAATACTCATGTAGAAATTCTCCARSACGGGTCGRTTATCGTTCACATCGTCTAAATATATCCTGACTTTTACAGAGCTGAATAGGTTTCTAAGCGTTGCACGTACTGTTAATGTATACTCGGACTGCGTTTCGAAATCCAGGTCCACTGCSGTCGTAATAGTTCCATCGTTTTGATTTATTCGAAARGCTCTTCCAGAGTTCCCTCTGCTGTCGATGCTGTAGCGAATACCAGTATCTGGRGTCTTATCCTGTGCYTTAGCCTTCACTGTTAAGACAGTAGTTCCAGGGTTTACGTCTTCTTTGATGCGTGCTTGGTAGTCAGAGTKCAGGAATATTGGCCTACTGTCAATAACGTCTTCTAAGTCGACAGTSACAGTCACAGAGCTTTGCTGGGGTGGTGTTCCTCTATCTCTTGCAAKKACAATCAGCTTGTAGGAMGCTTTGGTTTCTCGATCAAGTTTCTTTCGMGTTCTTATTATTCCTGTGTCAGATCTGGAGTCAATCTCAAARGCCCCGTTTCCGTCCCCTGAAAAAGACRTAGTTTGCACATTTCAGTGGAATGTCATCTCTACTGTGTGATACCTCTATTTCTACATGTATATAGGTATATAGGTATCGCTTGTTAGCTTTCCTTTTTAACAATGTGTTTTGGCCGAGGGGATGTTCTTTCGTTGTTGTTTTTTGGGGAAGTCAGAGGGGGGTAGTCGGGCTGTTTTGCATTGTTTTTCATTCCTTGGGAGATGGGATGGACCATAAAAAGGGCGTGGCCATCGTTACGCCTTAGTTTAAACGATACGATATCAAGTGTATAAGATATCATCACTACCCTTTGAAAGAACATATTACAATGAATAAGATCTAAAAGTTTCAATGCTCTAGTAAATCAGAAATTACAGTCGAAATTGTAAAGGTCTGAGTGAAATCTGTATTGACCTTTACTAGCCTCGTTTTCAGGTTATTAGTAAAATTCAAATGCTTGTAACTCTGCTGATATTTAACATTTGAAACTAAAACTCCGCCAATTTAGTAGTTGAGATATACTCTTTTTTATGTACCGTTTAATGTGCTCATTCYCAGTCTTCTGCTCGTCTTTTATATGGTCAATTATACGAGGAGCCGTTGGATTATTTCTTTTTTTATCTTATCAAGTTTTTTTTTCTTGGATGACTTTTAATTCGGTTGGCTGCTTTCTTCGCTGACTCTTTCATTTGTATTCTATTTTCCGTTTGCTTTACACTTGAAAATAGCAACCWAGTCGAAAGCTAGATGACATCACTTTTGTTTTGACAATATACATGCTTAACATATCTCCTTTCAAAATTGTTTTCTTTAAAAACGACAATCAAAACGCTGTCACCCGCTAATACAAAACAAAAATATTTTYAATTTTGACGTTTGAAACAATAAAAAATATTTGAACAAAACACCTCCCGCGTTGTATTGATGGCTGGTTGATGGGCAACCAYTCGCGTGGCATACAATAGTCTGAATATTTTATCTTTTGCTAAATAATATKGTTTCAAAGCAGAAATTATGTACACGACATGCAAAAGATCAGTTATGAAGCATACATGTGCAACATATACATATATGTAACAAGTAAAAATATGCTTATAATTACCACAACGGAAATCTAGAACGAAATACAAGAAAGCATGAATATTTTGTATCTTCACAAATTAGAAAAAAAACATATTTTCGAATAAGATGATGAATGGAGACATGTTCCCATAGCAACAATCTTACATTAAAAGYATCGTAAAATTAAAAATAAGAAAAAGCATTGTACAAAAATATAATTTAGGGATTGATTKAAAGATAAAAGGATTTTTGTTTTTCTTTCTCTAAGTCTTTAAGTAATAYTAATTGTGAGTTCTAGTGTAAATACACACGTCCTAATCGCCCAAAATGCGTTTTGTATTGTTGCTAAATTCTCTTGATTAAACTAGAGCAAAGAAAAACGCATTTTTGGCGAGTGAGAGAATTGAGAAGATTATACGGACACTAGGTCATAATTTCATTTCCATTTTTTTCCATGATAACGTTTTTGCAATTAAGAGTACATTAATTGTCCATGGTTACAGGGTTAAATGAKAAGTATTTTAAGCTTTTAAAAATGCACATATTCATAACAATATATTTGATCAAAGTGATAAACTATTGATGAACTACTATCTTAAGTATTTAAAAAAGTATATATRCATGACAAATATACATCATATTTGATTGAAAAACAAATTATTAAAAGTACAATTTACTAAAAACATCTCTATCATATTCTTGTGTTATGAAACAGTTTTCTAAACAGTTCCCTCTGTTACCAAGTATCATTCTGTACTATTTTCTCTGAGATGACTTAATGACGGGTGCAATGATATACTCGTAAATAGTAGTATCTCAGTTATAACAAATAGTATCATAGTTCACCTGCATTCCATGCAAACAGTCTACCATTCAAAATGTCATAGGGAGCGATGATAAGTGTAATTTGGTGTATCTTGCCACATTCGTAGATACGACGCACMCGSATTTTTTAAACGRCTATTTAGATGCATGGAAATACATAAAGAATTGCTTTTTAATTCTTGTTCAAAGCAGAAGAAATGACAATTCTCTTAAAAACATTTGTTAGAATCGATTTTTTTTAGAATGTTCAACAACCATTTAGTTAAAGTAGACGCGGTTGGACTAGGCGGTTTGGCATTTTGAGAATAAGCGCGTTAGAAAGTGTGAGAACATTTAGCAAGCTACGCAGGCTAGAGAACATTCAAAAATTTGCAAAACACAGCTGCAGTCAAGAGGTTTCAATTAAGAAATAAATTGCAATTTTTGCAGTTTATTACTAACTTCTTTGTTATTAAAGAGTAGGTGAAACGGTGGAGAATTCAGTGTACAATGGTCATGTTTTCAASACTTAATAGAAGGTGCAATATTGTAGCGTGGATTTGATTGATACAGTGGAACTAACGTATAAAGAGACTTTGATAGTCCGAAACCATCAAACATGATTTTAAATGCACCTAAAATACATTTATACAATAAACTTGCATTAAACATACAAAAGTCTATTTTTAATTTAAGCTAGACTTTTTTGACTTTTTACAAATGTTCGCGAAGATAGAGTTAACGTACTAAAACCGTGAAACAAATAGTACTAATTACTACTAAATAGTATTGAATAGACAATTAAAAACAAAGGAATTAGTATAGTTTATTACTATTTCGCACTATTCAAGTTTCACGGATTAAGTGTTTTCACTCTAGTTCACTCTATAACCTCGACCGTGATTTGGGAACTATATTCGGGAATAAAATGAGACTTATGTAAGTAAATAATGTACACAGTTATTAAGTGAACATAATTATCACATCCTAGATCCGATACCAAGGGACATAGAAGTAATAGAAAACTTGTTTTTAAGATTAAAAAAAAACTGCTTTTAAAACACAATTGAATATTACAGTGAGATTATATTTATAAGCAATGTAGACCAAAAATAGAGACAACAACAATATATAAAGTGTGTTATAATTATGAGAAAAAAGTATTATAAAGGTACAGGTGGTAAATATTCATAATTAAGGTGYATTTGAATAAATGGATGGATGGAATAATGGATAAATAAAACAATGGAAAAATAATGAGCTTGTGGAAAAACGGTTGATTAGTTAAACAGAATTTTCACTACATGTATATTCGTGCTTATATAGCCAATGATTTTCTGATAATTTAGATCCACTTTAGCTCTTAGATTAAATCTGGTTAGTAACACACTCATTTATAGTTGTCAGACATCTCCTTGGGAGGCAAAACATTGAGTTTTAAAGTAAAAGCTCTGTAATATGAGCCAAATGGTCTTTAGATGTCTCRAATGCTCACTTAACTGATTAAAAGGCCAAAAAAGCTTTTGTGATGTAGATGCAACAACCTAGAACCAACAATCAGACTAAATGTACACCTACATGTACAMAATAACTTAATAATTGAACCCAGAGATAAGGAAGGTAATTCAAAACASAAATATGATGTGAATATCAATAACAGAAGGAGATAAGAAAAGACAGAATTACTAAAAAAAGAAAGAGRAATTAGGAGAAGTAGGAATATTTAAACACATATCTGTTAATAAAACACTATTATGAATCTATAAGATGTACTATATAATGACAGCTACAGGTTGACACTGTGTATTGAATTGAATAGACAACAACAACTAGCTGCAAAACACATGTAAATTTAAATGACTAAGTAAAYTGTTATTATTAGCAAGGTCAGACTGGTAACAGCTTACCACCAGTTCTCTCTTTATATAATTATTATTTTCWTATAAGCAAGCATGGTTTGTCAGGCACAAAATTCAGAGATAAAGTTCTAGTATAAAATATCTATGTTTGGAAAGATCATGAATCTACATCTCTACTTCAGCTGTTACTGTATTTGAATCGATTGAGTCATTTTATTCTGAGAGTGCAATGGAAATGGCTTTTTAATAAGTATTGTTTGGTAAAAAACAAAAGAAAACAATAGTTTCAGAGTCTGATACCAACTAGTCTCAATAATATTATTAGAGATCAAATGAAAACTCTAATAAAATTCAATGTACATGTAGTTGGCAAACATGAAACGCCACAAACACGACACACATAACATGTAATAATAGCTTTATCTAGTGATTATTGGTACTGCATGTAAATAAACAGTATAAAACAAAGGAATTAGTCTAGATAATTCAGCACTGCTTAATACTGGTAATATTCATGCTAGAGAAAGTAAAAAAAAATGAAACTCTATAATACACCACCTCTATTTTGGTTCAGTGGTCCATGCACAAAGGAATTGTTGACGAGCCTCAGGGAAACAAAAGAAAGCAAAGAAGATTGTCTCCGACTCTTTTGTACATTTAACTCAACCAAAAATATCCGAATTTGGCTACTACATTGCTATATTCTGCGTCTATTTGACTATCCAACTTTAATAGTCAATTTTTTCTCTTAAAATTTTAATGACCGCGCATACTAAATCCTGCAGTTGTGGTTTGCAGTCTGTAGAACAACTGTATTAAAATAAGTGCATGTTTTTAACAATTTTACTTAAAATTAATTTTCTTACCATTTGGAGCAAAAGAATATACAATTTGCTTATTCTTTCCAGTATCTTTGTCTTTTGCACTGACAGTAGTGACCARATAACCAGGTCTGACATCTTCCCTCACAGTGGCACTATAACTCTTCTGCTTGAACTCTGGTGCATTGTCATTGACATCCTTCACACGGATGAACACAAAGGTRTTCTTTTTTAATGGTGGCTTGCCGTGATCAGTGGCTGTTACTGTTAACGTATAAGAACCTTTAGTCTCTTTGTCAAGCTTTGCTGCAGTTCGAATAATACCTGAATCCGAATCAATAGAAAACTCTGATGCAGGCCTAGAAAAAGAGTATGAAATCTTTGCATTTATCCCCGTATCRTCRTCTTTAGCTTTAACTTTAAGTACTGATGTTCCAACTTGAGCATTTTCCCAAACACGGCCTTTGTATGACCTCTTTTCAAACACTGGTGMATTATTGTTTGAATCAGAAATGTTTACATAAACAACTGCAGTACTGTCCAACARACCATCACTTGCCCTGATTTCAAATGTATAGAACTTGGTCATCTTGTAGTTGAGCATACAAGAAAGGGTGATCAAGCCTTGGGAATTGATCCGAAAACACCTCTGTTGAGGGAAAGGATCGATGGAGTACATGATGTTTGTGGGGTTTGAGTCTGGATCTTTAGCCGTGACTTGGAGGACAGTTGCACCAAATTTTGCCTGTTCTGATAGAGAAACCCTGTAAGTTGAYTGCTGAAACTTTGGWGGATTATCGTTAACATCRGCAACTGTTATGGTTATCTGCGCTGTTCCCTCTTTTGGCGGAGARCCACTGTCGACAGCCTTCACTCCAAAAGTATACTTGGYAGTCTTTTCWCGGTCAAGTTTACCATTGGTTGTAATATCACCACTGGAGGGGTTAACGGCAAATGGAACATCATTCCTCAATAAACTGTACGTCAGCTGCCTGTTGAGTTTGTCATCCCTATCRTAAGCCATTACACGGGTAACAAACTTTCCTTTCCCAGTATTTTCTTGTACAGTACCATGAAARTGTGGTGTTATAAATATAGGARCATTATCATTGACATCTAGCAGTTCGATTTCCAAAACAGTTTGGTTTACTAAAAAGGGTGTTCCTTTATCTTGTGCATTGATCSATAAACTGAACCATGGTATGCCCTCAAAATCTAGTTTACCCTGGACTCTGACTTCACCATTGATTTTATTRATAGAAAACAAATTCAGGTCATTTCCAGTGACAATCTCATAAAACACTTCGCCRTTTGARCCCTTGTCACAGTCTGTTGCAGCAATAGTGGCAACTARYTTCCCMACWCGKGTRTCTTCCTTAATGGTCTCTTTGTATACTTTCTTTGAAAACTGAGGGACACAATCATTGATGTCTGTGATTGTTATCTTGACATCAACAGTAGCACTTTTTGGTGGAGTGCCCTGATCTTCAGCCTTGACTTTAAGGTTATAGAAATCAACYTTCTCTCGGTCGAGTTCATTCTGCACAGTTATTACGCCAGTTCTTGAATCAATAGCAAATGCTGATTTAGGACCAGCGCCATTCTGAAAACTATAAGTAATTTTGCTGTTTTTTCCATCATCGTCATCCCTYGCTCGTACCTCTARAACAGGATCTCCTACATCAGTGTTCTCTGGGATAGATTTAGCATATGAGCTGCTCTCAAATATAGGTTGATTATCATTGATATCATCGACAATGATTGTCAAATCCATATATGATTCCAGAGAGGGATCACCTTGGTCTCTTGCAGTCACTTGAAAATAATGTCTGTCCATCTTTTCACGGTCAAGCTTTTGAGCAGTGGTGATAACTCCAGTAATAGCATTCAGACTRAAGAATGATTTGCTCAGAAGATTTTGCGTAGCAGACATAGAGTATCTTAGGATACCGTTACTTCCTGAATCAACGTCTGTAGCTTTTATCGTTGTAACAGTAGTTCCGATAGGACAATCTTCACGCASATTAGCCTCAGCATAAGAGCTTGCGAACTGTGGAGGGTTGTTGCGAACTCTTCTTTTCACCCGCCTCGAGGTCCTTTTATCATCAACATAAACTTTAAGATTAGCCGAATTAATTTTAAGTCTAGATTGACGATTATTTGCCGTTCTTTTGACCGGAAATTCAACAATTATATTGAACAAACTCTGTTGTTTTCCGATCAAAGATTTTCTAAGCAACAAATGACCTGTAATAGAATCAATGCTAAAATGCTGCCATCCCGCTTCATTTGCTAGACGTAGATATCTTGAATCAACAGTGAACCGATGACTGAAAAGATCTTTTAATGRGAATACTCTTGTCCCGACTTTTGCACTACGAGAAACAACCGCAAAGCCATCCAAGTTTCTTTGAAACTTGACAGAACAAGCTCCCTTGTGAATATAAATSACTACAAAATCCAAAGTTCTCAAAGTGYTACTAGTCTTGTTAAATGCTTGAACAAAGAATTTCAATGGACTTCTGGCCGTGGTTTCACAGTCTGGACTGTAAGCTGACCGTAGGAGACCATGACGAGAATCCAAATTTAAAAACTTGCCTTTCAAATTATGCGACGGTAGAAGAGAATAATTAGAAAGTTGTGAGTTTGAAAAGTTCGCTAGTACCTCTCCAGAATTTGTTGAACCATAAATATGCAGCACGGTGCACTTGACCAAGGATAAAGAAAAATAAATTAAAGCCCTCAGTAAAATAGTCATAATTGAAGAKCGATTATTCGTCCTGAATGTATCTTGCGTAGAAAATCAATATAGCCACCAAAAGAACACTTGCCGAARAACACGAGATAACCGCCGGGTGTCCATAATATCCAATGTTTTTAACTCTCCATTATCATTCCTGATAAATTAACCATTAACAATCTCCARTTCTTGATCTCTAATTGCAGTTTTTTAGTAGAAATATGAGCGGTTTACTGACTTCGTTTATAATCTTTGAGTTCGTTCGCGGTCTCCTGTCGGCAAACGCGCTTTGAGATCAATGACAAGTYAATRCAAACACGACAGCTGATTGGATAAAAAGACCCCACGTGACAGGCTATTCGGTAACCGGACGCTCCGTCCTCTTCGTGGCTGCTTTATTTCTAAAGAATGCATTCTTTTGTAGCATTTGTATTTGTAAACAGTGCATAAAATTTAGCCTAATGAAATGCAAAGSTCTTTGTTCAAAGACTCAAACGGTCACATCTGATTTACGTCGAMAGAGTCAGTGACATTCTTCACCGCTAAAGAAGGAAAGAAACGCAGAAATTTCAGAAAAATGTGCTCGGAATTTTATCAATTATAAGGTGATGACATTTTGCCTTTGAATTCGGATAAAAACAGATCAGCTCTATTTTGGAAGAAATAYAAGGTTTAGAAAACTATCCGCGAAGGAAAGTCATGATTTGTCACCCTATAGAGTGATTAGGGCGCACATCTAGCATCGCCTCAAATACTTATAAACAAGGAGGCTTCTCAACATCAACAAACAAACTTCTATGGCTTTGACTTTATRYYCAAGGTATTCGTGATTTCGTAGACCTTTGCATGTTCGCGAAGAGAGGGCTTCTTCAATGTTTTTTCAACCGATTTAYGRCAAATTGCATTAACGCTRAGATTGTCATTTTCACRCCGAAGTATGTTTATTTCGACACRTTGCTATAATTRAGTTCACAAGTCACGAAGTCTTTGAGATCGACTTTTCTCTCTAATCTAATCCATTTAAAACCGTAAAATCAGATCTTTATTTGAAAGAAGGTCGTCTGAGGCATTTCTTGAGCCGTCTTTTGATACGCTCAACGATTTAGCAGTTTAGCTGTGTGACATCAGCTTTGGTTTGCCAGACACTCGATCATTCTTCACCTCCCACATTCGGAGAGCAGATTTTCAGTCGAAGCAAACTCAGTAATCATCCCATCATTTAAATGCCATTACAAACGCACACATTCACTTAATTGTTACAATTTATCGGTAAAGATTGTTGGTTCTTTTTTTTCCACAAATGAGAGGGCTGATATGCACTTATTAGTGACCATTGTGTAAACAAAATGCACAGGTAATTCACGCCAAGTCATTCGATAAATATGCTATCAAAAGGTCGGCTCAAAGGAATGTCGGAACTGCGCGTCGAGAGGGAGCGGCTTAAAAGAACAAAAGCACCATTARAAAAATAATAAAAGAACTTTGTTGATAATTGTTTTCGGCAGACTACCGCATTCCAAATCAGCTCGTCGGAGTCGGAGTTTCCAAAGCCTAGCATGAAAAGCTACATCATAACACATTATAATGAAAGTCATGGTAGAATCTCACTGTGTTGGAAAGTTGTAGTAAAACTGAAAAWATGTGAATCTTCATTTCAAAAGAAAATTTTTTCTCGTTAATAGCGAACAATAAAGATTGATGATTTTCAAATACCATGCTTGGTAGTTGCCATGGTAACTATTAATGGSATATTTTTCATAAGGGAGCCAGATGGCCGCCAAACGTCGTGATCAATGACATTTTTGATAGATTTCTATAAAAATGTAACAATTAAGAGTGGCTTGAGGGGATCATTATAGCTTTTACATAGAATTTTCGAATAAAATCCATCCTTTTTGGCTTATCACATGATAAACTGTCATTTGCAGACTCGTTGCACCTTTCAATGGCACACGCTCGCAGATACTCTTAAAAACATCGACCCTCGATTGTATAAGCAAAAATATATATTTGAAAATTACTTCGTAACTGAATTTTTGAAAGGCAAAGCACCTCCGAGGTGCTTCTGAGTCGGAAGAATTATACCAGAAATGCAAGAGTGGAAATCAGGACAACTGGACACCGGACGGACGGATCCAATTTTTGCGGAGTAAAGACTGGAAAGAGAGAGCGACGTCCCCAGTTGAATTATTGAATACGTTTATTGGAAGGTAATGAATTAGAGTACAACTGAGAATTTTAAAGTACATTGGGTTGTCGGAACAAATTTTACTATTTGCGGACAGATATAAAGAAATGAATATACACAAGTCGTTCTAGCAACGCCGAAGGAAATTTTGGAGTCATAGAAATGATCTTTTGTTGCACGCACGCGCTTAGATAGTCTCAGAATAATTACTGTCATTTTTGAATGAAATTATCSCCATGTTGGTCTTCAGGGTTGTGACACTTTGATACCATTAATTGATAAGAACTCAGTTTTTACGGGACTAATTAATTTTATGTTTGAGGAATTCTGTCGGCTCTCATGGGAATATCTCATGTAAACATTGACAATTTATACATCAGTCAATTGAAACTACGTACGGCCCCGGCCCCCGGCTCTTGGAAGCAAAAACCGTGGTTAAATCGATCATTTCCACGAGCCCATTTCCTTAGATTTACACTTTAATTCTCCCGCGCCTCCCCGTGGGTTGATGATGTTAAAACAACGTCGAATCCCCGCCCTCAAAAGTGTTGATTTTCTGACCCTCCCCCCGGGAAAGAAACCCGGCATTTTAATTGCCTGATGCCTTAATTTTGCTGAGTTGCACTTTTTTTATGAAAGCCGGGTGAATAAAGGTTACAGATGACTAAAAGCAAGCGAGAGATAAAGTGGAATCACCAGCATCATCAAGCGCTATATTACGATAACCCACTGCAATGCATGTAAAAAGGTTTTGCTTTTTCGCTTGATATAAGYGAGCTTAATAATGAATTTATCAATAAAATTTCATAAGAACTTGAGATGAACCCGCGCGCACGCTCTGTTGGGATGATGACAGATCTATCGGTTTAGTTCARAGACTGGGTTCCCTTTGTTACACGCAGGAAGGAATGGATTTGATTACAAGGTTTATGGACTTCATGCTCCATYTTGTCTCTCCTGTGTTACTACTCCGTATTCCTCGTGCACCTATCCTTCACTCATAGGCAACTCAAATCTTTCAGGATTCCTGTCCATTTTTTCTAGGCCAGATAAGAGATGTACAATCTAGTTATTAGTTATTGACTGTGGAAAAGGTTGAAGTGTTAACTGGTGTGCGTATCTACAACATTTGTGCGAGGGCACACAGTAAAGACACATGTGGTGATATATATGATAAACACAGAAAAATCTCAGACGCCCGAAAATAGTATTTTCTACCTTCTCAGCCGCAAACTATTTTAATTCTTTACTGACACAGGAACCCCGAGAGAAGTTATGCCTGAGGGTTGAAGTATTTGTACTCGTGTTAGCTGCTGCGTGTGCGCAGCTAAAATATTTGTGTGCTKGTACATAAGGACACAAGCTTACTAAGCAAGGAGCATGTCGTAAAATATGATCAACATAGATAGATTTCACGGACTTCAACTCAGAAATGCTGATCTGTATTACAAAAAGCTGGTAAAAGTTTCGTTTAATAAGTCAAGCGATGTTATGTGCCTAGACGAGACTAAAGGTAATATGTTAGGCACGTGGCCCTGTAAATTATCTTGAGTTTTAACACGAGTGCCGAGAAACTGACAGAGYGTACACAAACCCTAGGTACATAAATCGTTGTCACATGGAAAGGGTCTTCGGTTCAGTTTTTAAGTAAAAGTCAGTCATGATAGTGCAAACCTCGCCCCAGGTCCTTATCCCTTCGTTTCGAAAAAAGATGTGATATGGGCCTGGACAGTAGTTGGTTGCCGGTATCATGAGTTAGCTGATATTGTTTAAGAGGTTAGATGAAAATTGGCAATGGTGTTATGGCCTCACTGTCTTAACTTTATACATTGCAACTGAATAAGACTGGGAAAGATCCAGCTGATTGTGATCTCAGCGTACAGAAGAATCGCCAAGAAGGCGGCGGTAAAAATGGAATTTATTGGTGGTAATGGGTGGAACCTTGTGGAATTCTTCTTGAATGAGATTAAGAAAAAGCCAAAAATTGCATCAGAGAAAAAAAAACATTTAGAGTTTTTTTTTTATATATTATATTAGTGTAAAAAAAGATTTTTTCAGTCAGTTCTATAGATGTAGTGTAAGTATAATCAAATTATTAGGGTCAAATTAGTTGWACTAAGCCACATATCTTCGTTTGATTTATGCCCGCCTCCAGAACCGTGGGTCCACAACGAAATGGTTCCGAAAAATTGCATACGCCTCCAAAATTCTTGGATAATGACTGAATGGCATATYAATTTAATCACGAGAATTTAGATAGAAGCAATAATCCAGACAATCCAATACTGCCAGATCTGACACTGACCGAGTTAAATATCCGGCTCAATCTCAATAGCAAACAGGCCCTATATAAATGAAACAATTTTATCATTATCAGGGCCTTTGTATCTATTTCCTTTACAATTTTAGATCCCAWTTTGCGATTACAGCTAGCGTTTTCGTCCCTTGACAAAAATATAGATTTGCCAGTTCAAAAARTCTGTAACTGAAGTTCTGGTCAACATAATGCCACTTCTTCGAGAGCATGTCACCCTTGGSTGAATTTTTCATTTTATKTGGCCTAGCCAACGCAGGCTTCGAACTGATTTAAAACAATAACTTATCTATAGGGCTAAAGTTAATCTTCTTTCGTCGGTTTTCCTTAAGGATCTACCTGCAGACAGACTTTAATTGTAAGACAACATAATCGGTTGACCTCTGATACCTTTATTTTACATTTTTTATAACGTTTCGACGTGATTGGAAAAGAACACGCGGAATTTTATAATTGTAGACTTGACAGRCCGCTATTGACCCATAACKTTTCACTGTTAGTGATGCATGTAGTATGGTAAAAGGGTACTCAAACTGGCACCAGTTTTCCAYACATCCTCTTCACTTAAAAGGGAGCGAACAATTACGGTTAACAAGATCARAATCTATCGATAGCACACAATGGATGAGAATTCTTCAGGTCGGACGGTTAAGACATTAGTAAGAAAAAAAGCCTTGGCATTGTCTGCATTGCTTAATTAACCTTTCGGCAAAGAACATCCTCTGTTTAATCGAGAGAAAAGGATAATTGAATTGTCCACTCTTAAATCATCTGTAGAGCTGTAACCACATCGGAATTCAAACCCCATAGAGAATGCTAGTGATTTATAATGGCTRTTACAGTTGTAGATGTTTTATACAAAACATCACAATACAATTCCTACGCATTTTCTGTTTTTCCAAAATATGGAACTGTATACTTCGGAACAGACAGAAAAAATAAATTAGACCGTCGACGGCCAGATAAAATCTGTTAATTAGCAAGCAAAACAGGCTATATTCACCGTTTAAAAGCACAGCCAAGCCGGTATTTAAAAGGCTATAATTTATCGATGACCTTATGCTTAATGATCTTCATTTGTGCCAATATTTTGGCTTGGATTTCCATCTTCTCTGTGTGTTCTCTTTTGAACAGGCTCATTACTAGACACCCTGCTATGAGCACAATTCATCATCAAGCCCAAACAGACTTGGAACCTAGCATATGATCAAAGATTCTAGAATGTCTCATTAAWGGAAGCTCTTTTTCGAGAAAAACTTCATATTTGAACGACAGCCTGWRACAAGACCAATCACCTAGAGTGGGAAGATGAATTCTGGCATTCAACAGTCATAAGCCCGGCTAATCTCCAGGACCTCCCGTAAYTAGAACCTCGTCTGATCTAAACAACCGGTCATGCTGCAGATGGAAAGGAGATTTGACAAAAATGAACGTTTCAGCAAATCGTATCTTCAAATGGCTGGTSAGGGTGTCTTTTTTGATTGTTCTGTTGACACAATCGCTGCTTTTGGGGAATTATCTCGTCCACTACCTCGACAAATATTCGGCTCAGGCTTATATTTTGACTTATGTTCCCTCGGTTGTATTGTGGATTCGTGGTCAGATGGGCAACAAGGGTCGTACAGTAGCTGCAGCRGTCTGGCTTCTTTATTCAATCCCATTATCAGGAATCATCGCATGGATATTTGGACAATTGCTGCCTAAAATCAATAAAAACTCYGCAATGGACCAGGGATTCTTAAAAAACACCATCTCACTTTCGGCACTCGTCTTCATTCTACTCGACGCGCAGAAATTTCAGCCAAAGCTTTATATGCGTTTAAAATGGATCAAAGTCCTTGATATCCTCGACGTGGCAGACTTTCTTGGAATCTTGTTTCAGGTGGAAGGGCAAAAAGTGCCAACSTCTTTCCAGAGAACTGTGGTCTCGTTTGGCTTGCTAAGTTTAATGCTGACAACCATATCATTGATCAGACTTCAAAGTAGAAACCCATTCCAAATGAATGTAGRGGATGGCTTCCAACCAAGCACCCCTCTAGAAATTTCAAGATTGATTATACAAATAGTGCTAGTCAACTTTCCGTTCTTTTCATTACGCGTGTATCTTTGGCATCTCTACAAGGTGGATTTGTCAGTTTTTACGTTCAAAAATGCTTTAGCAATTGCAGTGAATTTAATTCAAATTGGTGGACATGGACTAGAAAGCCATATATCCTCGGCTTCGAACACAGACGACGAAGCTGTTAGCACAGGGTCGAGATTGCACTCCAGAATAGGAAGTCGAACAATAGTAGAAGAATAACATGCAGGGTATAGTGTCAAAATATATATCTAACAAGGATAAATTGGGGTCAGTTTTTAAAAAAGAGGAGAAATTATTTCTTTACAAGACAGCTCTCCGAGATAGTCGAACAGTACAATATGAATCGATAATATATCGGATTGGGTCCGCCATTTGTTCGGATGAAGTAAATTTGCGTAAACCAATCCATTCACATTGTAAAATTGCAAAAGTTCACTCGGATTTAAAAATTGCTGTAAATATCATTTTATTTTCAAATACGTTCCAATCGACAACATTTTATTTTCAGCTTCTGCTAATCATGGAAAACATTGAGAGCKGGCTCAATAGACCAATCCCGCATTCGCTTGGATGAACACGTAACTATGGCTTCATTTCGAGGCTGGAGTTTTATCTTTTGTCGAAAACTCCAGCCTCGAAATGAAGTGATTGTCTTGTGTTCATCCAAGCGAATGCGGGATTGGTCCATTTAGTTCTTTTTAAAAAGACAATATTTGAAAGAATCATAGATTTTTAGTACCAAAAACAGTCCTTCAAGGTAACTGAGCACTGCATGTGTCTTCAAAAATGCTGATTCCCATTTCGTCCACCTGACGTCATCACACGTGACTATTGAATGCAAAAATAAGACATCACGTGGTCTGAAATGGGTAACCAAAATAAAAAACTGTCATCACTCAAATTTGCTTTCAAGTAAACTCATTTCTCATTCACAGCTGAATGAGAATAAAGAATGTAACAAAATGCAAATAGATAAACCGCTCTTTTTATAAAATTCTGCTCGTAATAAATTATAAATTGCCAAAGTATTTACTCCTTTTTGATTGAAATAATCTTCTGTAAACCTTTGCGCTGGTTTCCTTCGTCSTGTTTCTTTGGATCTGGTGGGACGTCCGGTATCACCTTTAAAATAACAAACAGAGCTTCAAAAATACTTAATCAAACTACTTTGAGGAAAAAAAACAGTCACAATTCTACAAAATAACCCCGGAAAACGATGGTAATACAGGGACAGATTGAGTTGTTGTGAGCAGGGAGTGCATCCCAACGTCAGACATTATTTCCCCTAATTTTGGGTTTCTTTTGCTATGATTTTTGTCAGGTGCACCCCCTCCTGATTGCCCTGCACCCCTTCCTGAAGGAAAAAGTGGATCCGCCGCCATAATAGCAATGCTAGTGATAAATCTGCAGAAGGTAATAAATGTGATGATGAATATAATGTTGATGATTTCATTGTTAATGGTAATTGCAGTGGCATTAACGACGGTAATGCATATAATGTTGGTGATGATTGCATTGGCAATACCGTTGGTAATGTTAAAGAGCACAAGATGCATAGCCAATAAGTAAAGTTAATGATAATGCTGACGGTGATACATAATGGTGATGATTTTACAGTAATGGGGATTGTATTGGAAAAAGCGTTACTGTTGGTAATAGCACAGTGTAAAAGAGAGGACAGGGAACAGCGACGGTAATGCTAACATTTAGTAATATGCTCCTGCAGTGATATTAAGCCGTTCATATTGTTCGTGATGTCATTAAACTGTAATGACATTGCGTTTCATGACTTTCAAAAATGGCACGATATGTCACGATCGCCGACCAGGGCACTGGGGACAAAGCACTTAAACGAGGTCTCAAAGGCCAGATTGCGTATAGTATACTTCCATGGTGCTTTGCAAAAAGTTTTGCTTGTTATAAATAACATACCAATACATCTTTCAAACTTTGACACTGCCATACTTGCGATCTTCATGGTGATTTTTAGATGTAAGGGCTTTGAGGTCTCGTTTCTGCATGATTCGTCACTATATAGTCCCCCGATATTGACGGTTGTGAACTACCGCCATTTTTGAAAGTCAAGAAGACAGATAAGATACAGTAATCCAAAATTCAAGAACGAATGATAGTTTTAGATGAAACTAGGAATATCACTTCGGGATTACATTTATTTTGTTTTAGATAAGGTAATAATAATAATAATAATAATAATGAAAACTTGTATAGCGCATATACAAGTCTGTTCTAAGCGCTCTGATATAACTAACAAACAAATTAAACTCTAAAAGCTAAACTAAACAAATAAGTTTTGAGTTCTTTCTTAAAGGACAGCAAAGAGTCAATGTTTCTTAAATCAGATGGGAGAGAGTTCCATAAAGTAGGGGCAGCAACAGAGAAAGAGCGAGAGCCATATGTTTTCATGGAGTAAGGTTTAACAGATAGGAGTAGTTCTTTAGAGGACCGAAGCGTTCTTTTAGGTTTGTATACAGAGATCAGTTCAGAAATGTAAGACGGAGTAAGACCATGTAGTGCTTTGAAGGTAAGTAGAAGAATCTTGTAATTAATACGTTGACGAACAGGGAGCCAGTGTAGATCTTTTAGTAAAGGAGTAATGTGATCACGACGTTTAGAGAGAGTAACAATTCGGGCAGCAGAATTAAGAACACGTTGTAGCTTATCCAGGTGAACACCAGATATACCATATGGCAATGTCGATATCAAAGAGAACGGCAAAAAACGGTGGTGATGCCAGCGATGATGATTACATTCATGGTCAAGAATAAACAATAATATTGGTAGATGTAGTGGTAAATTTGAAGGGACACTGTCAATGGATGACATGCGCAGTAACAGTCTCACCTCTAACGGACTTTGAAAGTATAACCTTCGAGGTAAATCTTTTTGTGGTTCTTTTAACACACTTTGGAATATTCTAGATCTGTTTACGTTTACGATCTGATTTATGTCGCGCCAACTTGGAGTCATAAACTTGAAAACACTAGCCTAGTGTTTTCAAGTTTACTCGCGCATCCGTGCCATTGACTGTGTCCCTTTAAGGCGCTATAGTCCTCTTCACGTTTCCCTGCGCCATTTTGAAAGGTACCCGTGCCTTAGCATCGAAGCGAGAAGACCGTTGAGCGTGTAACGTTAGAAACCTTCTTTCACACCGACAGGCAATTTTTCACAGGTATCTATCATTGCACGCTCAACGGTTGTCTCGCTCCGATGCAAAGGCACGGCTACCTTAAATATGGCGCAGGGAACCGTGAAGGAGACTATTGTGATAGACAAATGACTATTACTTACGAGATTCGGTTGATAATAACTATGCACCACTGAAGCACCAGCCAACATGCTGAGCAAACTTGCAGTAAGAAAAGTTAGGTATCTTGACCAGGAAATACCAGCAGGCATGGTAGATATCAACGTATGTAACAATATTTCACATGTAAAAATGATTATCCGATCTTAGTCCTGGGTTTCGCGATCCTTGAGTCTTCGCTCCGATTCCTT